CAGGGTTTAGTGGTGGGATGGCAGGGGTAGGGGAGCGGTTGGGCTTGATGATCTTAAAGGGCTTTTCCAGCCTAAATGATTCTGTGATTCTACAAATATAGAATTATCTTTAAGCATCTGGCTACTGCCTGCTCGCTGTCCTCACTCACACTCTGGCCCTTGTCACAGGTACTTGTCGTGACGGCGCACGTTGGCTTTTCAACACCCGGGGACATTATACACCTGGAAACGCACAGAGTTCTTCGATTCAGTACTAAGCAGCTTGGATCAAAGTCGTCGTTTTCTGCTTTTCAGGGGTTTTCGGTGGGGCAGCAGCAGATTATTATTTTTTGAAAAGGTCTGTATTAATCTTATGCCAGCAAGAGTTTCTCTTCCCATACAATTCGCCAGCTTCCCCAGTTATAGAACCTATATGCCTGTAAAAGCTTTCTTCAGCTACCATAACAGCTAATAGGAGCTAAATTAAGGCACAAAGGTAGTCCCGACCTTGACTTCACAGACATGCGATGAACTGATGCCACTCCTCTTAGTCACAATGCCTTGAAAATGAAATAGGAGAAAGGGCTGCAGCTCTTTCTTACATAGCTCCCTTCTTCATGATAATGCTTAATGTATCCTAAAAGCACATCTGTCCGCCCTAATGACGGTACTTGTAGAAAGACTCTAAAATGGAGGCCGGCAACTTTCTATCCTCATAAGCTCTGGAAAGCAGCCCTTGACAATAACAACCTGTGACGGGGCAAAATCAGCGAGGTTGGAAATAGCAGTGTTTGGAGGAGGAGGACACCCATGGTCACGCTGTCTGTCTCCCTGGGCACTGAGAGCAGGATGGTTCCCCGCAGCGTGTCCTCTGGTATGCTGCTTACAATAATATCATTGCCTGGACAAAGCTACGGTGGAATTTGACTCCATTACGAAGCAGCATCTGCTGATGCTCATTTTCTACCTAATATGATGAATGTTCACAGCAGTGGCGTTGGTTGCAGTGGGTTTATTTTCAGATTAAGAGATATATATATATATAAAAAAAAGGGATAAAGCAAAGGTACCTGAAATTACGGCAATTTTCCATGACCCGTGCTCCTCCTTGGCTATTCTTTCTGCCTCTTCCATTAGTAACATACCAAATCCCTGTAATAGGAAAAATAACAGGAAGAAAAGGTAAGTTCTGTAAAAATAGAAAGCATAAGCAAGGTCAGAATGTAAGCACTAGTAGAGTTCCAAAGGAGTCATATTTTTGGCACATGAATGATCAAAACCTTACTGCAGGAGAGGGCTTCAGGGGAGTACCGCAGGAGAGGTGTACCAACACTAAGCTTTACAGTGGAGCTTTCTCAGGGGGTTTTTCTGGGTCGTGACATTATTCATAGGCAGTCCTAATGTCTGACTGCTTCTCAACGGCAGGAACAGAATGAAGTTAAATCCACTGATGGTAAGTCAAGTTGGTACGCATCCCGTAATTCCTGGCGCTGAACAAGTCTACCCTGCTGGGAGAACCAACCCTGAACAACAATTGCCCGTCTTAACGTCTCCCTTACTAGACCTGGGTTTGTGCTAGTGAATTAAACAAAGCCAGAGCACACACGCCAGATGATTGCCTACGCTTTCTAAGTGCAGAAGGATCCCAGTGCCACTCTGACTGGGGACATCGGTCAAAACAGATGTGGCCAGACACTACAGATCCAGAGACCCCTGCTGCTGTTCACTCTTCTGACAGACACATGGCCTTAGCCCCTCGCAATCTTTATTTCCGCAACCCCTCCAGGAGTCAGGAGCCGTTACCGTGCTCGTTTCAGGATGAAGAACTGAGGCACGCAGCGACCACAGGGCTTGTTGGGGCTACCCACCACGGCTGCATCAAACCTCCGCGTGACCCTTGCAGACCTAGGCTAGGCTCAAGCTCTGTGCCACTCTCCTAGGCTCAGCTCGCGACACAGGAGATGCCAAATCAGAAAGAATTGCAGAAGAACATGTTAATATTCTGGACCAGATCCATGCCTCTATTTACTTTTGGAAATCTTGCACAGCATGAGTGCTACTGGAATCACAATAATGCTTCAAAATAAGGGAATAGCCTTTCCACTCTATTTAACAACTTTGTTGTCCTGTGTATCTGGGAATAATTGATTGGATTAATTCACTCCTAACATTAGGATGCAGGAATTACACTCGGCTCTTTGTTCATCTGTTTTCCTGACAAGACGTACAGAATTGGGCTGTGGCAACACTGAAGCAGATGTGATTTAATTCTAAAAAACATTTAACACTTACAGGCATTTTTAAATAACACACAGAAATCTTCATTCTAAAGCGTCCTTCTAATCAGAAATTGCCCCCACAACTGTGAAGAACACTTTCTGATTAACCTCTTGAACACTGACTATTCTGAACGAACATGAGTGCGTCACATGCCATGAAATTTCAATTTGCAGCCTATTTTACTGTTTGTAGTTGGCTATTTCAATTGATTTTCTCTCTCTCTTTTTGAATTTTTTTTTTCAAATACTTATGACGACCACTTTTTCCTTTCTATATTTTTAAGTGTTAACTATTTTATAGTGAAAACATCCACTTTTTTTTTTTCCCCCACCCCCAGACACTGCCTTATGGTCACACATCATCACCATCTAGCAAAACTGCATCTTAATGCATATAGTCAGGGAAAGATTAATAAATATAAGGAAGTTAATTTAAAACATCAGCCCTAAGCACTTCTGGCAAAGAGGACAAACTGATTGCTTTTTGAAAAGCTCGGTCTAAAGGTTCAAAACCTACCGGGGCAAAATTTAATTCACATTTTTGCTCACTGCAAGCCACAGCATGTTACACGCAGCAGAAGGATAATGTGCCATTTTCATACCAGTTACTGCAAGGAATTAGAAATAGCTTTCCACTCCATTCTTCACATGCTTTAAGGTAGATATGAAATAGCCTCACAAGGGTGTCTGAAGCAACAAACTGTCAGACCCAACTAAGAGACTTTGCTCGGGAGTCTCATCAAATCACTTAAACTGATGCACATCTCGGAACCGAAGTTGGATTTCTTGTTTGGGGAGGAAAAATGTATTCAAGAAATGCTCCTTTGAAAGAAAACGGAATAAAATTTCACCTTCCCATATGTATTTATGTCAGATTTCAGAAGTGAAATTCATCTATCAAACAGGACTAATTTTAGAAGGAAATAAAAAGACACACTGGATGTATCTTTGTTTCATTTTTAGTCAGTTTGCAGTGAATTCTGATGTACAGGATATCAAAGGGATGATGCTTCAGAACCAAACATGCTTAGTACTCGAAAGCCAAATTAGCACCAGCATAGATGAGCTCGTATTGTACGGGCATGAAGCAATGCTGATAGCGTTCAGGCATGCTTTTTTTTTTCTCTCAGAGCAGTTGCAATTGCCTAAACACGACCACACTAGCAAAAACTCAGAAGCAGCATGATGTCAGCAGGTGAAACGCAAGAAGGGGCTCAAATTCAATTCTGTTCCTATTGCAGCGGACTATAATTCAACGGAATGAATCTCAGATATTAAATAAAATTATTCTCCGATTATACTGGGGAGAGGGGAGGAGGACGCAAGAAAGAGGCACGGATGAAAAATAAAGATGGCTTGGAATACCTGGTGTTGAAATTTTGAAGGATCCCGACTGCTCACAGGGACCACGCTCCCATAGACGTGCAGTTCCCGCACAATGGAAACGCCTCCTTTCAGCTCAGGTCTGAATGACTCCTCTGAACACTTCCGCAGTCGCAGGAGGCCAACGAGAATATCCTGCTCTGGATCTTCGTAGGACAGGAAGGTCTCCCAGCCACCGTTAGCCACGTAATCTCTTCTAACTAATTCAATCTGGTCAAAGAGAAGCAGCGGTGATGAATACAAAGAGGAGAAGAAAAAAGGAAAACTTTTTTAAAAATATTTAAGCAACATGTTGAACGGACCAAAACCAATTTCATGGATCCATAAACTATTTGATTCAGAGAAAACACGAAGTGCTTTCTTAAAGGCCAATTTAATTCTAGATGGATTTTAGCAGTACTGGATAAGAACTGCTGTTACTGCAGTCATATTAAAGATGAAACACGCAACTACTTCAATAGACATGTATTTGCCAATGGGACAGAGCCGGTCTTCTATTCTGATTTGCAAGCTTTCAGGAAGGGCTGGTAACCCACATGGTTACCTGTCTGTAAGTCAGAAACCTAAACCCTGCATTTCTTGAGTTACTCAAGTTGTCCTGAAAGGAGGGCGTAGCGAGGTGGGGGTTGGGCTCTGCTCCTGGTAATGGGCGACAGGATGAAAGGAACTGGCCTCAAGTTGTGCCAGGGCAGGGTGAGGTTGGATATTGGGAAAAAACTTCTTCCCCGAAAGGATTGTCAGGCACTGGAAGGGGCTGCCCAGGGAAGGGGTCGAGTCCCCAGCCCTGGGGGGATTTAACAGCCGGGCAGAGGCGGTGCTGAGGGCCAGGGTTTGGGGGTGGGATGGCAGGGGTAGGGGAACGCTTGGGCTGGGGGAGCTTCAAGGGCTTTTTCAACCTAAACCATTCTATGATTCTATGAGTTTTGTAATCACTGCAAAATAAACGGGGGCAGCAACTCTTGCCACTAAGCAAGGGACTTGCTCTAATTGAAATTAAGCTCCAGTTACAAACTTGGTAATGTAGAATGAATAGTTTTGCCAGCTGCCTTCACTAAACCTGCATTTAGGCCCACGTCTACTGCTTTGCAAAAGAAATGGCTTGAGATGTCTACAGAACACGGGTCTTCAAAGCAGCAGTCAACTTCTTTACTAATTACCAGTTAGTTCTTTCCAGCACCGCAGAGGATCTACCTACAGAGGCAAACTGTGTAGTGCAACAGAAGTGGATCTGAAAGAGTTGGTGTTAGAATCATAGAATCGTTTAGGTTGGAAAAGACCTTTAAGATCATCAAGTCCAACCGTTAACTGACCGCGTTGAGTGAGTATTGCATTACACGTGCTTTACAGAATCAGC